ACACTGTGGGTTAGCTTTCTCTCCCTGTGAAATCCTATCACAGGGACACTAGTGAGGACCACCAAAGAAACAGAAGCCCCCTCCCCACCTCTCGTTATCTGCCTGTCTAAAAGGCTGACTTTTCAAAAACTCGAGTTATGATTGCCAAATCCAGCCAGCCCACATCTGGGGGTATATTTAATTATTCCCAGGTGTGGCTCTTTTCCATCCACAGCTCAGTCACTTGTACTCTGGCCTCTCACTAGGCGAGCGGATGACTCCAGACAGGGACCATGTGGCAGGAAGGCTGCCTGGTTCTGCACATCTGGCCCCTTCCCGGGGGGTTCCTCCCCAACAGCTGTCCTCCTCGGGCTCCCTCGCCAAGCAGAAGGCCAAGCTTTCAAGCTCTAAAAGTAATTCTGGCAGGGGTGCTGCGGGCTGGGAGGGAGGCCTGCGGGATGCTCCTCCAGGTTTAACCACTTAATCCCCAAAGTACCTGCCAAGAACCAGTTAGCAAGTCTGGTTGGCCGGCCAGGCCGTCATTAATTCATTAAAGCAGGCTCCCGCTGGCCCATTATCTTCCTTGCCACTGACCACGTCGCCTTATGGGCCTGCAGAGTCCCCCTCTCTCCCCGTCCCCTGCTCCCAAGGCAGGATTCTACCCAGCCCTGGCCTCGACTCCCAGGCAGATTCCTCGGCTCCATTCTCTCTCCCTCCCTGCCCCCTCCGCAGGCACGCTTCTCCCTCCCTCCCTCCCACGCCTCCGCCAGCCAGCGCTCACCATAAAGCGTCTTTTGTTCCCTCTCTCCTGTATCTTTGAGTATTGACTGGTTAAATCATACCCGTCCTCCTCCCGGCCTCCCCAGCCTCAGAGGAGCCTCCCCTGGGGCTCTGGAAGAAAGGGAATTGCACTTGTGCAGGAATTCACTGTGCGCCAACCCGGTCTGCTTACTGCCCCTATCTCCTCTTCCCCTGCAAGTCATAGGGTGGGGGACGCTGTGTGACTTCAAAGACAGAAGCTCCAATTCCACTGGGGATCACTTAGGTGGATGCTCTCTGCCTCGGCTTCCCCTTTGAAATAAAAGGAATGGCACTGACCATTTCATGACATCCTCTGTTGAGTGAAGTTAACAGACAGACACTACACTGGACTTTTTTTTTTTTTTTTTTGAGACAGAGTCTCACTCTGTCACCTAGGCTGGAGTGCAGCTTGCTGCAACCTCTGCCTTTGGGACTCAAGTGATCCTCCCACCTCAGCCTCCCAAGTAGCTGAGACTACAGGTGCACACCACCATGCTATTTTTTTTTTTTTGGGTACAGACAAGGTTTCACCATGTTGCCCAGGCTGGTCTTCAACTCCTGGACTCAAGTGATCCGCCCACCTTGGCCTCCCAAAGTGCTGGGATTACAGGATGGAACCACTGGCCCAGCCTGCACTGGACACTTTCAATAAATATTCTCTTATCATTCTCCCAATAACCCTGGAAGGATACAGCTCCAGTTTACAGATAAAGGTACAGAGGTAATGGTTCTTTCTCAAGGTCATGCTGTCAGCAAGTGGCTGGGCGCTTAAGAGTCTCTCAACCATTATTCTCTCCTGACCCTTCTGGCACTGATTTCCCAGGAGGGCAGGTAGGAGTGGTGTGGAATGACCAGCAATAATAATGGTAAAATGTTGACTACCTTGGGAAAGAATGATAGTAAATGCACTATAATAATCATGATAGCTCACATGTATATCCACTGTTCTAGAACTTTCCATGTATGAATTCATTTAACCCTCTTAATAATGTGCCTATACATTAAGTACTATTATTGTCCCCATTTTACATATGGGAAAACTGAGTCTTGGGTTTTTGTTTCTGTTTTTTTTTTTTAAAGGATGACTTCTGAGAAAAGTATTGCTGGCTCGCAGTAGAGACTCAAAACAAACATACTGGATACACACACACACACACACACACACGTTTTAAATTATTGAGATGGAGTCTCGCTCTGTCGCCCAGGCTGGAGTGCAGTGGTGTGATCTCGGCTCTTCTTGGCTGACTTCTTGGCTGACTGCAACCTCCGCCTCCTGGGTTCAAGCGATTCTCCTGCCTCAGCCTCCTGAGTAGCTGAGACTACAGGTGTGCACAATCACGCCCAGCTAATTTTTGTATTTTTAGTAGAGTTGGGGTTTCACCACGTTCGCCATGCTGGTCTCAAACTCCTGACCTAAGGTGATCCGCCTGCCTCGGCCTACCAAAGTGCTGGGATTACAGGGGTGAGCCACGCTGCCTGGCCTGTATGTAGAAAATATTGATTCTGCATATAGCTGAGCACACCCTTAAAACCTACGGGAATTGAAAGTGGTAGTTCCTACCCTATGTGGCTGGCACAGGCCTCCCTCAAACACCTAAGGTACAGCTGTGAACATTCCCCTTTCTCTATTAGGGTAGGGAAAGTGGAGAGCACCCCATATCCAGCATAGAACACAACAAACTATTTTCCTCCAGTGAATTTTCTTTCCCTTCTACTTAACTTACCAGAGCTGAGAAAAAACGGGTTTCCCCAAATTAAACCAAAAGCACAATAAAGGCCAGAGCTGCTGGTATTCTGAGGTCAGATGTAGGCTGCAGAGAGAGAACTTCATCCGGGCCAGTGCAGGGAGCCCGAGCACGGGGGAACCCGGCCTGGGAGCGCAGGAAGGCAGGTGGTGAGTAATTCTCCGGGTGTCCCGAGGGTATGAGGGGCGGCGCTGGAGGGAAGCCGGGCGGGGCATCCTGAGGTCAGGGCGCCAGAGGCTGCAGAACCCTGGAGGGGACGCCCGGGCGGGACAAGGCAGGTAGGAGAAGAACCCAGAGGTGTGGGAAGAGGGTGTCTCAGAGTCAGGGCGCAGCACGGGAATAACTGTGGGGTAGAAGCCGGGGGGTGGGGGAGAGGGCGGAAATAAACTCCACGGAGACCATAACCTGCTGCTGCCCTCCCAACACCGATGCAAAACAGCGAAACTCCTGGCCGACGCCCTCCCCTGCAGCGCAGGCCCCAGTTACCCAACTCCTCCCCTGCGCTCCGGCGCAGAGCGGCGCACTCTGCCCGCCCCTCCCGCAGCCTCCCCTTCCAGGCCACGGGAGCGGTCCCATCCCTAACACTAACACACCGGTAAACGGGAACACAGTGAGGCTCCGGCCCGAGTCCTCCGCCTCCCGGGAGGGTGCACCCGACATCCCGCACGCCTGGTCCCAGGAGGGGAGCGCTTATCCAGTCTCCTGGACAACAGAACCAGAGAAAGACGTGTCCCAGCCCTCTCCACAGTGCTATTTGATTTTACTCCCTTCCTCTCTTTCCTTCTCATTCACTTTTCAATTGTCTTGCAACTTGTTTTCCAGGCAGTTTCTCTTTTTCTCTATCCTCCCCAAACTTCTTGTCCCTCCCCATCTCGTCGCCTGTTTTTTCTCTCCCTCTTCACCCACTTTTTTTCCTGCCTCTTCCCAAATTCCACGCTTTGGACTTCGCGTCTGTCGCTCAACTTCCTTTTTCTGCTCCCCGCGATACATCTAAAATGTTTTTCCCGTCCCTGGAACTGGGCAGCCTCAGCCTGACCCCTTTCAGTCGCGGGAGCCCCCAGCCTCTCCAACAGGAGAGGGAGAAGGCGGGGAGAAGTGGATGGGACCCCCGGCGCCCGGGAGCCGAGCGGAGAGCGCCCCGAAGTGCGCACTTCTCTTTGCCAGCGCCCGGGCTGCGCGGGCCCACGCGACATCTGTCGCCTGCGGTCCCGGCTCACACCCCGCGCACCCCCGCAGCTCCCTGGGCGCTGCCACCCCCCACGCTCCGGCTGCCGCCTTTCCCCGCGGGCGCAGACGCTCGGGCCTCGCCTTCAGGCGCCGCTCCAACTTCCCAGGGTGTCTGCGGCGCGCGGAGGGGCTCGGCGGCGGGGACCCAATGGCGGCTGGCTATGTCACCTTTGATATTCACCTGCCGGCCCTAGACTCATCTATGGTGGGCTCAGCCTGATTCTCCCTCATTTTCTGCAGCGCTCCTCGCTACTCCAGGATCCAGAGTAGTAAGACGATGCTTACACTGTGCGCTTCCTCAAAGCGCCTAGCACAGTGCCAGGCGCACAGCTAGGGCACAATAATTCCCCCACCCCAAGAACCTAGTATCTTCCTCCCACTGATACCGACCACACTAGGCGCTCAATACCCACTTCCCGTCCTAAGTTCTCAAAGCATTACCCCCCTAAACAGTGCCCAGCACCCCGAAGGAGCTCAATAAATGTTCCTTCCTTAAGGCTTCCCATTGGAGTTTGCCTGAAAGCCTTCTATTCCAGCCCACTCCGAAGGCGTCTCCTTCCCATCGCAGCTACAACCGTCTGGAGAGAAGGAAGCCAAACTCCTTAAACAGGACACTTCACTGGAGAAGGAGCGACGCTGGCAGGGCAGAAGAAAACTGCAAATGCGCGGAGCTTGGGAAGAAAGATTGGGCCAGCCAGAAACCTGGAAGGGGAGGAAGTCTCGAGATGCGCTTAGGGTGCCAGAGAATGGGGATCAGAGATTGGAGAAGTGACACTTAGGGAGAAGAGGTTGGGAGCAAAGGTGATGGAGACGGTGGCGACTCAGGAACAGCAAGAGGCTTGGAAGGGGACCGAGGACCTTTCTTGGAACTGCGAAAGACTTTAAGTATTTGGCGTGGCTTACAACTATATTCTCATCGCAGGCACACTTTTTATTTGCATTGTGTGTTTATTTGTGGGGCTGGTGGGGATTATGGAGGTTGAAGTCCTCCTCAAGCCACCGAGCTATAAGTGAGTAGCAAGATGCGCTTAAGGACTCGGAGAGATAGGGGCAGAAATGGTGGACCTGACACTTGGAAGGAAAGACTGGGGACTGGGTAGGAGAGGGGGGCCGGAGATGCTTGCAAGAGAAAAGAACGGAGGAAGAAGGAGAAGGGAAGAGAAAAAAGCCAAACTTGCCACTCTCCCGCTCCCGGGCCAGTGCCCAGCTGCCGCGCCCTGGCTCTCGGTCGCTCGCTCGCTCGCGTACCTGTTGCTTGCTCCGGCTGGGTCTCGGCTCCGGCCCCACCAAGAAGCCCCGCGTTCCTACAAGTTCCGCCTGCTGAGCAGCCAGGCCGCCAGCGCCGCCACCTGCGCGGCCGCGCACAGCCAGGGCCAGTAGGTGGGGAGCGCGCCGGGCGCCGGCGCCCTCCGGCTCCGCGCGCGGCGCCGCCACATGGTGCGCTGGTGCAGCTCGTCGCCAAGCGCCTTGAGCCGGGCGGCGGTGAGCTGCGCGGCGGACGAGCGCAGCCCCAAACGACCCGCGCTGCAGTCGCACACGGCCGGGGGGCCGCGGCCGCGGTGCAGGGGGCACGGGCACATGACCGCTGGCCTCGCTCCCGCCCCGCGCTCGGGCCGCCCCTCGCCTCCTCTCCCTCCGGCCTCTGCGCCCGCTGCCGCCGCGCTCCAGCCGCCGGGGGCCTCCCCTGGACACCAAGTTTCTCCTTGTGTTGTGCGTTTGTTGTGCTGACGGCGCTATTATTAATTAAAGTGTCACATGGTGGAGGGGGGCGGGGAGGGGGGTTACATCATCCGGCCCCCGGGGGTGGGGGGGGCTGCAGGCAGAAGAAACCGAGAGGTAACTTTTAACCCTAGCGGCGCCGGCAGCGAGGGGGCGCGAGGTTTGGGAAACCCGGAGCGCGGCGCGGGGCGACGCGAGAAGGCGCCCCGCAGCGGAGGTTCCGGGCTTTGGGGGTCTCAGGGGACCCCCGCGGAGGCGAGGAGCGCGAGGGAAGGTTGTTCTTCCCCTTTTCCTGAATTCAGCTCGAGTTCCGATTTGGCGAGGGAAGAAGGCTTGTTTGCCGTTTTGGATGAAGCTGATACTGAATTCGGCTGCATTATTCAAAAATATTCCGAGGCTGTTGTTTTGTTTGGGGGAGGTGGGTGGATTCAAAATCTTACGGAAGAGCCAGATTACACCTAACTTGCCTCGTTTCAGGTCTGACTTGGCACCTGTAGGCATTTAGCCTGACCCTAACGCGGCCCCAGCGCCTGGCTAGAAACCCTGACGTAGGCGTGATAGGGGGCTGAATGGGTCGGTCCTGAGCTCGCGAGGGGCGTGGATGGAGGCATTCTCGCTGCCCAGCACCCACACCCAAAAGACCCTCACAAGGGGCTTTCTAAAGCGAAACTTCTTGTCTGCTTTCTTTGTGAATATTATTTTCCTGATGGGGTTACGGTTTTCTGCGACGATCCCAATTTAATGCGCAGTGAATACCCTAAGGAGTCGGCGAGAGGAGGGGCGCGGGGGACTTTAATTCCTCCTTTTTCAACCCGACAGCCACTCCTGTGCACCTCCAGACTGGAGCGTCTGGAGTTGTCACAGCCAGTGACGGTTCAGATGGGCTGGGCGGCTCTCAGCATTCTGTGGGGGGAGAATGAAACCTGCGATCTTAAATCGACTGGGATTCAGACAACTTTAGGATTCAGACGATCGGGATGAGTCCAGAGGTGGCTCCAAGTTGGGATTCTGGAACCTGCTGAGGAAGCTTCCATTCTTTCCTTCCCACCGCACAGTATAACCAAGATTCTTCAAGTCTGTGAACTTAGTTTTGGTCTGAATTGATCAGGAGGAGAAATGTCCCTTTTGGCCTACAGCGTGTTGAAATGACAACAAAGTCAGGGGTCAGAGCTCACAACACTGTGTGATTCTGGTGGCCTTTTCCCGCACCCAGCTCCAATTATCCTAGGCTTCATAATGGCCGAGACTTACTGCGCACCTTCTATGTCTGGCACCTGTAGGCTTTGGGCGCTCTTGCCTCTGCTGCCTAAAGGTAAATCTCCCAACTATTCTACATGCAATTACTATAATATTTCAAAGATGAGGAAGCTGAGGCACAGGTAGATGAGGCCTCTTGCCCTAGCTCACAGAGTAGCTAAGAATGAAACCGGCATCTGAACTAGGGCAGTATGCCGCAGGCTCTAAGCTCTTAACCACGGTTTTATACTGCCCCCTGTAATCTGGGAATAATAATACCTCCATCCCAGGATTGGGGCAGAGATTAAATGAGAGAAGTGTGTGCCAAGCACCTGGCACGCAGTGGGCCCTGGATAGACCTCAGTTCCCTTTGCTTCTGGCCAGAACCACTTCCCATTCTCCTGGGACTCACCTCCTTAATCCCCCTTAGTCTTTGCAGAGGGGACCTGATCCACTGCCCGGGTGTAGCGTTCCAAGAACGAAGACACAGTGTCTATTTAAAAAGCCCTTTGGATTTAAATTGAACAATTCCCTCCCCCCACTTTTTAATCTGCACGCTTTTAACGGCTCACTTCATGGACATTAATTTTAATGGGACGATTATTACCCTGTTTGGAAGCCTGCCCCTCGAAATGCTGGGCTCACAAGGTGGCGCTGGGTCGGGTCCCAGCAGCTTGGATGTTGTCTGTAGAAGAGGGGGTGCAGTCTTGGCCGTGGGGATGCAACGTTCAGCGGAGGGGGAAGAGAAGGGGATGGTGAAAAAGTGGGAGAGAAGGAGAAACCTCTTTCTCCCTGACACTCTAAGTCTGGCAGTCCTTAATTTGCACAAACTATTGGACCACTTACTAACTGGGGAGCATGGCCTTGAGACGTGGCTTTTTGGAGCCTCCATTCTCTCAATTGTAAAGTGGGAATAATAATAGTACCCACCTCACAGCCTAAATACTAGGAAAGCCCTTACTTAGCACAGTGCCTGGCCCATCATTAGTTCTGTTTTGTTTTGTTTTTGTTTTTGAGACAGAGTCTTGCTCTGTCGCTAGACTAGAGTGCAGTGGCATGATCATGGCTCACTGCAACCTCCGCCTCAGGGTTCAACCAATCCTCTGCTTTGGCCTCCCTAGTAACTGAGCCTACAGGCACCCGCCACCATGCCCAGCTTATTTTTGTATTGTTAGTAGAAATGGGGTTGCGCCATGTTGGCCGGGCTGGTCTCGAACTCCCAACCTTCAGTGATCCTTCCACTTTGGCTTCCCAAAGTGCTGGGATTACAGGCGTGAGCCACCGTGCCGGGCCCCATCATTAGCATTTAATAAATGTTGAGGACTGCTAATATTTCAGAGTGGATCATGTAGTTGTCAAATAGTACTTTGAAGAATGTTGAGGATCCTCACCCTCAAATATATATGGTTCCCCTATGGTGAATTTGGTGATTCCATTGCTGATATTAAGCATTGCCCAGAGAAAGCGAATTCTTTGGGAGGGTGACATAACAGTCTCCTAGCACTTTTTAAATTGTCTTAATTTTTATTTAAAAACATTTTTTAAAAGATGGTGTCTCTCTCTGTGGCCCAGGTTGGAGTGCAGTGATGAGATCATAACTCACTGCAGCCTCCAACTCCTGGGCTCAAGGAATCCTCCCGTCTCAGCCTCTGGAGTAGTAGCTGGGACCACAGACACACACCACCACACCTGGCTAATTTAAAAAAAAAAATTAGAGAATTTTTGGGTCTTGCTATGTTGCCTAGGCTGGTCTTGAACTCCTGGGCTCAAGTAATCCTCCCACCACAGCCTCTCGAGTGGCTAGAACTAGAGGCGTGCACCACCATGCCAAGCTTCTCCTAACAGTTTAGTAAAAATGAGTTCTTGATTTCAATGTTTAATTTAATAAACACTTATCTAGTGCTTGCTCTGTGCCAGGTGCTGTTCAAGTTCTCTAGACATATAACTCCTTTAATTCCCCTAATAACCCTATGAGACAGCTACTATTGTTAGCCCAGTGTTATGTATGCGCAAACCAAGGCAGAGGGGTTAACTAACTTATCCAAAGTCACACATCTGCCACGCCCCAGAGTTTGAGCCCTTTAGAATTAGAGTGACATATGGTGACTGGGGACTTGGGAAGAGGGAGGGAGGCTGTTGTGGGGTGAATTCTGTCCCCGCCGTTCCACCCCAAATTGATAACCCCTGGAACTTCAAAATGTGACTGTATTTGGAGATAGCACCTTTAAATAATTAAGTTAAAATGAGGTCATTAGGATGGAGCTGAATCCATTATGACTGGTGTCCTCATAAGAAGAGGAAATTAGGACACAGACCCAGACACACAGAAGGAAGACCATGTGAAGACAGAGGAAGAAGGCATCTACCAGCCAAGGAGAGAGCCTAGAACAGGTGTTTCCTTCACAGCCCTCAGAAGGAACTAACCCTGGCCGGGCCTGGTGGCTCACACCTGTAATCCCAGCACTTTGGGAGACACAGGCAGGTAGATTGTTTGAGCACAGGAGTTCAAGACTAGCCTGGGCAACATGGTGAAACCCTGTCTCTACAAAAAAAAAGAATATACAAGGATTAGTCGTGGCGGTGCGTAGGTGCTGCCACCTGTGGTTCCCAGCTGACCAGGCGGCTGAGGTGGAACGCAGCTCTCGTGCATGTGCCCATGTGGTCTTAAGACATCGCTCTCAGTGGTTGCGATGGATCATGCCAAGATGAACTGTGGGGTGACAGGTGTATGGCCTGATCCTATAGAATAGATTGATCAAAAGAAGACATAGGACAGACGGCGTGGACTCGCACTGTTCTGTAACTTCTAGCCTTAGATCGCTGTGAGCACAATAATTGTTCTTGTTTGTTTAATGCCCTCCTTGGATGATGTGCATATAGTATGGCATCCCCTAGAAACAAGTACACGAGAGGAACATGTCCTAAACGGGAAGCTAAAGCAGATATTTCACCAGACTGGTGCGGCTTTTACTGTGGGGCCACGTGTCGTGGCATTTTTCTGTGTTCTTGGGGAAGGGTTAGTTCTAGAACTGTGCCCTGTTCCTTTTTTTTTTTTTTTTTTGAGAGACGAGTCTCTGGTCTGTCTCCCAGGCCTGGAGAGAGTGAACGATCTCAGCTCAGTTGCACCTCCACCTCCCTGGGTTCAAGGCGATTCCCGCCTCAACCTCCCAAGTATCTGGGGTTACAGGTGCCTTACCACCACGCTCTGGCTAATTTTTTGTATTTTTAGTAGACCACGGGGTTTCACCATCTTTGGCCAGGCTGTCTCAAACTGCCTGACCTTTGTGATCCACCCTGCCAGCCTCCCACAAGACGCTGCTGGATGTACAGCATCAGACACTCCTACTCTTCCTGAGCCTGCATGTTTCTTTGGTGTCATCGGTGCCTTGTGGAGATTCTTTAAGGGAGGAAGAGTTTTAGGAGATTATTTTGGAAAACACTTTGCGGAAATCCAGTTGATCATACAGGGAAAACTTTTCTACCGGTTGCAAAAAAATGCAACCTCTCTGTCATGAAGTAAAGAAATGGGAAAGGCTTTCTAGTCCATGAATGTTTTCTGTGGTCTCCTGGCTTAAAACTGGGCACCCAGCAGGCACTCAGACTTTTTTTGAAATGAAGACTCAGG